ATGCAATGTTCGAAGAAATTGTATCTGAAATTATTGTTTTATCAGGAATAATATATTCCAATATCGTGTTACCTTCGTTGCAGCTTTTACTATATATATATTTCAAATTATAAGAACCACAAGTGTAGCATTTTGGTACTGGTGATTGCTGTTGCAGGATATTTTTACGTATGGAACAATTTGACCAGTCACCCTAGGGACTTCCCGTGCTACATGTATTTCGATTGCGAAAACGTTATGTTGACATATATTCGCCAAATTGCCACAAATATGACTTTTAACAAGTCAAAGTATGGCATTTTTAATATATGTATCCATTCTCTAGCAACTAAAGTTTGTTTCAATGTGTCAAAAGCGGTAATCTGACCCTGGTTGCTGTATCTCTTCACACACGATTTCACATAATATAACTTCATGAAAACAATATTAAATGAAATTTTGAATAAAATTAATAAAATATATTACAAACACAAGTCCAGATATATAATGAACATGTTTTAATAACAAGATAGTAACTATAATAATGGTATTGTATTGCGTACTTCAGTTCGGATTTGCTGACAGGTATTTCCGGTGTTATGTGCTTGCAGGGATCAGCTGATAATGTTTTTAGAGATGAGGAAAAACATCTGTCAGTGTAAAACCTAAGTTTATTAAAAATGTACGTACGTTTTTGGGAGCCATGCGTTACCGCGCGCTATAACCAAGTTAGCGGTTTATTGAAAGGCACAATAGCGAGGAAACGCTCTACTTGAGATTTGCGTTCCGTATCGTGGCGTATTGATAAATGAGCCCACCTTTATCGTATATCGTATCGTGGGTCAAGTATTGCGATGCATCGGAATATCGGTGTATCGTTTCACCCTTAATACTTTGTTTATTCTGTGCTGTGAAACAGGATGTGAACATGCATCCACCTCTTGTACAGCATTCAAGTACACATATTGTTATACGTCATCTTTTGCATCATCCAATAAAGTCTGAAACATATTTCCATCCCAGAATTGTCAATTTGCAAAGTTCAAGGCAAGTCATAATGATCAGCCTTTCCGCTAATCTGAATTGTTCCTGTTGAAACAAAGTATTTAATGGAACACTTACAACTCAGATAGAATAACCATGGTAACAGTAACTGTAAAGCATTTGGCTTGAGATCCTTACGAGACTAACTGCCTTTGTCTGGATGCATGTGGACCCTTATCATCTCAAAGTACCAAAGCAAGGTTACTTAATCATAGCTGTAGAAGATAGAAGTAGTCTTTTCAATGAATTATGCAGAATTGCAGAGGACATTAAGTATTGTAACTGGTATGGATTGGAAGTCTGTTGGCAATGCAAATCTTACTTTTGCTCAAAATATTGATTTTTTTTCAAACTTGTTTAATAATTTACAGCAGGGACTAAAAGATTGTTTAACATATAACCTCCACTTTCTACACAGGGAGCCCAAATTCTGATTCAAGTAATGACATTTCTGGAGTTTTTACCTTCAAACACCCAATCTAGAGAAAAAAGAATAGTGTCGGGGAAAAATAAAAAATTCAATAGTGAGGGTGTTAGATGGTATAAAGTTTCCGTGTTTTAATCAAAACTTGGGATTCCTGTGTTTTCCCCTACTCTGTTGCATTCTGAGAAGTGAAATGTGTAATCAAGTTGGGATATCAAGGGTGCCTGATCCACTTTACTGTGAATGAAATATGTTTTAATTCCCAAAACAAGATTTACGTTTTAACGGGCAGCCGTGTGGCTCCAGCCTGAACCACTTCAGGGGCCATTTTTTCATCAGCCAGCCACTAACATAAAAGTAAAACTCAAGACTATTTCTTATAACCTTTTTACATAATCCATTCAACTCGCCCACTGACACTAAATTGATGCAGCAACAAATGCCCAGTTGGCACACAGAATACCACTATTAATGGGGAACTAAACGTGATTCTCTTATGATAGATGAAAGTAAAGAAACTATGGAAGGTCTATGACCACGAATGTAGGAATGAATAACTAACTATAGGAGCAAGTACACACTTTACTTTTCTAAGGGCCACGAATATTGGTCCATCTAGTTTCTATTGGGTCAAATCAACAAATCAAATGCTGTGCAGTCGGGAAGTCCTGTTTTCAGGTTTTGCCCATCCTCAGCTATCGAGGGTTTTATCTCTTTTGTATTGAGAATCAAGAATCAAGAATTTTTATTGTACAGAACACCCTCATAGGGCAGGGTACAGACTATCTACATATGAACATGTATAAAATTATAGATATGAAAGGTAGATATATATGATGTACATTATGCATAGATGTATTACATGTTATTTCATTTACATCATATAAACATGTATGTATATTATGATATTGCTGGCAGCGTACACTTAGTGTTGATACTGCATTGAATATAGTAGAATTTTCTCATGGCCTCAGCTTGAACATGTGGAATACAGTCCGGGCAACAAGACTTCACCAGCTCTGTCTGGCTTGTCACAAACTTAGAACAGAATTTCTCCCTCATTTGCTTGAAATCATCAACCAATCAAACTGCCTCTTCAGATTTAAAGTTAAATCTACATTCAAAATCACAGCCTCATCCAAGCGAGCCATTGATGTATTTAAACAAATCACAATACTGTTATAAGGCCACACATTTTTTTTTCGTTTCATGGGCCTACCGCCCCCCTTACTGAAAAGCTGGTTGAAAAGAAATAATTTAAACAAAAAACATTTATAATGTCTCCCGCTAGTAAAATAGACCCTCTTGTGCAATATAAAATGTTGTATATAAGTTCCATGAGTAAATCACTGTCAGTGATTCAAGAAGCCAGCTGCAGTTTTAACTCTCCAGCTGAATGACTTTCATTTAAAGCTATTTTTATTTCGACCGACTGTGTGGAAAAGCTGGCATGCTCTGGACATATTTAGGTTTCGTACACAGAGCAGAGACATTTACCACTTTTGTAAAATCCATTGTTCAAGCACTGGTATGGTTCTGACATACCAAGAATCATAATCAGTGTGAATTTGGGCTTTGAACCCATCATCACAGGATTCTACCTAATGGACACAACTCTGCACAGCAAATAGGGTGACGAGGTCATTTCTGATGGTGTACGATAAAAGTATTATATTCTGAACCTTTGTCATAGTAATGCATCTTCTGTATATTTGAAAACTTCAAATTATAGAGCACTGAGGTAAAAAATATTCAGACAGAATGGAAGAATTCATCAAATATATTGTTAGTTGCCTGCCTAAATTATTATTGGCCACAGGATAGCAGACAAGCTGTTATTTCTAACACAGAACAGAAGGCACTCCTTTCTGGTAACAACAAAATAAATAGGGAATTTAATCTTTTATCAGTATGACGTTTTCCTCCCATAAATCCAAATCTCAAAGTGGAAATTACAAAAGTCTCACATTTCAGCATTTGATCTTTCAAGTCGCCCTTGAAAGCCAGACTCATTGGGAATTATGAAGAAACTGGAAGATGAGTTTTATCTGTCATCAGTGTAAACACAGACAAGCAGGGGCACGGTATCGGATGTCTCCGAGAGGATGCAGAGCGGGAGATGCAGGTGTAGAGTGTAGAGTGCAGAGTGCAGAGTGCAGAGTGCAGAGGAGTGCTGGAGTGTGGGTGCGAGTGCTGAATGAAGATGAATTACTCATCAGACTCGCTGCCAGTCAAGCTAACAACGTTCTGACAGGTCTAGGTTGAGAGTAGCAAGCCAGCTGCACAAAAACAGTAACCTGGCCATTTTATTTGAAGACAGAATAGAATGATTACACGGGGAACCTGGTAGTCTGTCTCCCAGACCCAGGAGAATATATTAAAAAATGAATCCAACTCCATTCTTAAATTATATGCAAGTCTAGATTGCCTCAGCCCTGAAATTAAGCACTGTTCTGTGCTCCATGTGGAATTTACTGTCTATTTTGTGGATACATGTATATATATTTTGAAAACGATAACTTTATTTCTGTGACTAATTGATAGTCAAGGAACCTGTTTATGTTCCTTTAGGTTAGGCAAATTTATTTTTATTTTACAAACCTTTTTTTGTCTACCTTTGATCTAGCATAAATGGGAAAAAAATTAATTAAGTATGCTATTGAAAAAATATTTGGAAATTTTATTTAGCATGATTTAGATTTTCATTTCCCGAGTGAACATTTGTGTTTGTAATCACCTAAAAAATCCTGACTGATCATGACTATAAGGCAAACCACAGCTGATCCACGAATAGTTGCAAGCTTGTCGGCTTCTTGCTGTTGTCGCATCTTGACTTACGTAATACACTGTAACAACGAAGAGTGTATGAGCCTGTCATAGAACTTCGTAAAAACAAAACTGATCTTGTGAAGTCAGGACTGATGATTCAATCTGGGAGGCCTAATGTCCAGGCAGCAATTAAACTGATTAATTTTAATTGCACCGAATCTGCGTGAAAACATTTATCACATCAGACGTATATATTTTTAGCTGAAACATATAATGACCATTTAATTTTTCTTGATGTAGATTTCATATTTTGGAAAATATGATTTGCTGATATATGAACTATTGAATGTTTCTTCTTGAAAGTGAGGAATTATATTTTTGTGAACATGATCTTAAAATCCTTGGAAAGATTGAGATAAAAAATACCATTACTTCGATATCTTTGCAATATACACCTGATATAAGCTATAATCTGTGAGGAACCAGAGAACATTACCGTATTCCTGGTGAGGGAAAGCCGTATTCCCGGTGAGGGAAAGCCGTAAAGGGATTGGACTTCAAGGATATAACAACACCATACCCTGATTCAAACTGTGTGGTGGCGCGTTTATCTGTCACCAGCTGTTGTAACAACCGATGAAAGATCCCAGAGAAAAGGATCACTCTCTGTACCTTGTTTACCTTATCACAAAAAAGATTTCCCTCGATGGCGCTGAAAGATGGACACACCTTGGAAATTGATACGAAGCAATGAGCAGGACATGGTTTTTAAGACGGAGATTCTGAAGTCGTGGGACTGAAGCATGTGGAAGTACTAGTGGCAGCTGGGGGACTCATCTCTGATTGTACCTGGATAGTGAAAACACTTGGGCGAGCAGCCAGGCTGCTTCCACTGCAATCTTTGGTAACAGTGTTTACAGAGCGCCTGTACAGTCTGGGGAAGTGATGGGAGGGTAAACCCAGAGTTGACACAAGAGGAAATCATTCCACCTTATCTTAAGCCAGGGATATTAGGATATTGTAGCTAGAATTGCGATTCACTGGCTGATGCTTGTTGAGACATACTGGTTCTCTTCTGGTCTGGCATCAATGGAAGTGAAGGAGGCTGTTATTGCGACTATTCAGAATATTGAGACTGACGTAAAAGTTTTAAGTTTGGAAGGTCAGGACAACTTCAAGGAATAGTGTGAAGTGTTTAATCCATAGTGGACACTGCGTGGGATGGGCTGTTTGTGTGAGATGTACCACAGTCGCCACATGGGCCTGGATTAAGCAGCTGGGGTGTGATGGCATGGAAATGGACACATGATTGGGTTTGTACTATTTTAACATTCATATTAATAACATATGTTTCCATAGTTACAGGAATTCCTGTTTTTGATGGTGCCAATGATGTAATAACAATGACTTTATTTGGTTATTCTTTGAGTTGTAAGGACTTTAATCAATTTTGGGGGGAATTCTTCATGCAGATAGTAAATACACCTACAAGCATCTGTGGTATGATGGACATTTGGTCAAATATTTGTTGCTTGTGTGTTTAGTTTGTAAAACTTTGTCCTTCAATTCAGTGTTCCAGTTGGCTTTGGGAACACCGGTATAGTGGACTGGCAACTCTAAAAGTTACCAGTCCCCTCAATTTTTGTCAGTCCCAACTTCAAAGAAATTAAAAAAAATGTATGAAAATTACCTGCTTTTAATTTTTCAACATCATGTTCAACATTTTACTTTGATTCAAGACTACACCTCTAAATATATTTCCTTGCACTAAAAATAGACAACGGGAAACCCTGATGAAGGACAAGCTGACTTCGCTCGAACAATAAACTTCATTGATAACAGCCAAACTTTTGTTCAACAACAAAGACATATAAGGTACTTTATTTGCCAGTCCACACGGACTGACACTCACATGAATTACCGGTCCAAGCCTCATTTTACGGGTAAAAAACTGGTAATTACTGGTAAACGGGAACACTGCTTTACTTGTGAATTAGAATGGACAATGTCATTATGGGTAATCAACCATTCCTGACAGACTTGTCGGACGTTTGAGAATCTTTGATGGTAGACATCAGATGTAGAACTGGCTGTAGGACACTTCTATGCATTTACACTCATTCTCATCCTATAGACAACTCTGTGATATTAGTGTGACGTTGTGTAATCAAAGTGATGCCATATATGGTCAGGAGACTGGGTTCAAGATGTTGAAATATATTGTCCTCTTCCCTTGAAATGACATGCATATAATTACATATTTTATGGGTTTTGTCATTAGGTCATTAATGTGGATGCCAGTGATGTCTTATGATGATATTAACTTGATGCTATCATGATTTGAATTGATATGATTGTTTTTATGTATGACAGTGTACAGTAGATCCTGGTCCTGCTTGATATTTTCTGTAAAGGCAGTGACACTTATAGTAAATCAGTTAAGGTGGCTTTGCCTTCCACAATGTGCCAAATGTGTCCTATCACCCTCCCCATGCCAGTGTATCAGTTGTCCACACTCTGCCTGGGAGACTCACCAGTGTGCTATATGTGTCCTATCACCCTCCCCGTACACCTACAATTGATGAGATGACTTGTATCAGTTGTCCACACTCTGCCTGGGAGACTCACCAGTGTGCTATATGTGTCATATCACCCTCCCCATGCCAGTGTATCAGTTGTCCACACTCTGGCTGGGAGACTCACCAGTGTGCTATATGTGTCATATCACCCTCCCCATGCCAGTGTATCAGTTGTCCACACTCTGGCTGGGAGACTCACCAGTGTGCTATATGTATCATATCACCCTCCCCATGCCAGTGTATCAGTTGTCCACACTCTGGCTGGGAGACCCACCAGTGTGCTATATGTGTCATATCACCCTCCCCATGCCAGTGTATTAGTTGTCCACACTCTGGCTGGGAGACTCACCAGTGTGCTATATGTGTCATATCACCCTCCCCATGCCAGTGTATTAGTTGTCCACACTCTGGCTGGGAGACTCACCAGTGTGCTATATGTGTCATATCACCCTCCCCATGCCAGTGTATCAGTTGTCCACACTCTGCCTGGGAGACTCACCAGTGTGCTATATGTGTCCTATCACCCTCCCCGTACACCTACAATTGATGAGATGACTTGTATCAGTTGTCCACACTCTGCCTGGGAGACTCACCAGTGTGCTATATGTGTCATATCACCCTCCCCATGCCAGTGTATCAGTTGTCCACACTCTGGCTGGGAGACTCACCAGTGTGCTATATGTGTCATATCACCCTCCCCATGCCAGTGTATCAGTTGTCCACACTCTGGCTGGGAGACTCACCAGTGTGCTATATGTATCATATCACCCTCCCCATGCCAGTGTATCAGTTGTCCACACTCTGGCTGGGAGACCCACCAGTGTGCTATATGTGTCATATCACCCTCCCCATGCCAGTGTATTAGTTGTCCACACTCTGGCTGGGAGACTCACCAGTGTGCTATATGTGTCATATCACCCTCCCCATGCCAGTGTATTAGTTGTCCACACTCTGGCTGGGAGACTCACCAGTGTGCTATATGTGTCCTATCACCCTCCCCATGCCAGTGTATTAGTTGTCCACACTCTGGCTGGGAGACTCACCAGTGTGCTATATGTGTCATATCACCCTCCCCATGCCAGTGTATTAGTTGTCCACACTCTGGCTGGGAGACTCACCAGTGTGCCAAATGTGTCCTATCACCCTCCCCATGCCAGTGTATCAGTTGTCCACACTCTGGCTGGGAGACTCACCAGTGTGCTATATGTATCATATCACCCTCCCCATGCCAGTGTATCAGTTGTCCACACTCTGGCTGGGAGACCCACCAGTGTGCTATATGTGTCATATCACCCTCCCCATGCCAGTGTATTAGTTGTCCACACTCTGGCTGGGAGACTCACCAGTGTGCTATATGTGTCATATCACCCTCCCCATGCCAGTGTATTAGTTGTCCACACTCTGGCTGGGAGACTCACCAGTGTGCTATATGTGTCCTATCACCCTCCCCATGCCAGTGTATCAGTTGTCCACACTCTGGCTGGGAGACCCACCAGTGTGCTATATGTGTCATATCACCCTCCCCATGCCAGTGTATCAGTTGTCCACACTCTGGCTGGGAGACTCACCAGTGTGCTATATGTGTCATATCACCCTCCCCATGCCAGTGTATTAGTTGTCCACACTCTGGCTGGGAGACTCACCAGTGTGCTATATGTGTCATATCACCCTCCCCATGCCAGTGTATCAGTTGTCCACACTCTGGCTGGGAGACTCACCAGTGTGCCAAATGTGTCCTATCACCCTCCCCATGCCAGTGTATCAGTTGTCCACACTCTGGCTGGGAGACTCACCAGTGTGCTATATGTGTCATATCACCCTCCCCATGCCAGTGTATCAGTTGTCCACACTCTGGCTGGGAGACCCACCAGTGTGCTATATGTGTCATATCACCCTCCCCATGCCAGTGTATTAGTTGTCCACACTCTGGCTGGGAGACTCACCAGTGTGCTATATGTGTCATATCACCCTCCCCATGCCAGTGTATCAGTTGTCCACACTCTGGCTGGGAGACTCACCAGTGTGCCAAATGTGTCCTATCACCCTCCCCATGCCAGTGTATTAGTTGTCCACACTCTGGCTGGGAGACTCACCAGTGTGCTATATGTGTCATATCACCCTCCCCATGCCAGTGTATCAGTTGTCCACACTCTGGCTGGGAGACTCACCAGTGTGCCAAATGTGTCCTATCACCCTCCCCATGCCAGTGTATTAGTTGTCCACACTCTGGCTGGGAGACTCACCAGTGTGCTATATGTGTCCTATCACCCTCCCCATGCCAGTGTATCAGTTGTCCACACTCTGGCTGGGAGACTCACCAGTGTGCTATATGTGTCATATCACCCTCCCCATGCCAGTGTATTAGTTGTCCACACTCTGGCTGGGAGACTCACCAGTGTGCTATATGTGTCATATCACCCTCCCCATGCCAGTGTATTAGTTGTCCACACTCTGGCTGGGAGACTCACCAGTGTGCTATATGTGTCATATCACCCTCCCCATGCCAGTGTATTAGTTGTCCACACTCTGGCTGGGAGACTCACCAGTGTGCTATATGTGTCATATCACCCTCCCCATGCCAGTGTATTAGTTGTCCACACTCTGGCTGGGAGACTCACCAGTGTGCTATATGTGTCATATCACCCTCCCCATGCCAGTGTATCAGTTGTCCACACTCTGGCTGGGAGACTCACCAGTGTGCTATATGTGTCATATCACCCTCCCCATGCCAGTGTATTAGTTGTCCACACTCTGGCTGGGAGACTCACCAGTGTGCTATATGTGTCATATCACCCTCCCCATGCCAGTGTATTAGTTGTCCACACTCTGGCTGGGAGACTCACCAGTGTGCTATATGTGTCATATCACCCTCCCCATGCCAGTGTATCAGTTGTCCACACTCTGGCTGGGAGACTCACCAGTGTGCTATATGTGTCCTATCACCCTCCCCATGCCAGTGTATCAGTTGTCCACACTCTGGCTGGGAGACTCACCAGTGTGCTATATGTGTCATATCACCCTCCCCATGCCAGTGTATTAGTTGTCCACACTCTGGCTGGGAGACTCACCAGTGTGCTATATGTGTCATATCACCCTCCCCATGCCAGTGTATTAGTTGTCCACACTCTGGCTGGGAGACTCACCAGTGTGCTATATGTGTCATATCACCCTCCCCATGCCAGTGTATTAGTTGTCCACACTCTGGCTGGGAGACTCACCAGTGTGCTATATGTGTCATATCACCCTCCCCATGCCAGTGTATTAGTTGTCCACACTCTGGCTGGGAGACTCACCAGTGTGCTATATGTGTCATATCACCCTCCCCATGCCAGTGTATCAGTTGTCCACACTCTGGCTGGGAGACTCACCAGTGTGCTATATGTGTCATATCACCCTCCCCATGCCAGTGTATTAGTTGTCCACACTCTGGCTGGGAGACTCACCAGTGTGCTATATGTGTCATATCACCCTCCCCATGCCAGTGTATTAGTTGTCCACACTCTGGCTGGGAGACTCACCAGTGTGCTATATGTGTCATATCACCCTCCCCATGCCAGTGTATTAGTTGTCCACACTCTGGCTGGGAGACTCACCAGTGTGCTATATGTGTCATATCACCCTCCCCATGCCAGTGTATTAGTTGTCCACACTCTGGCTGGGAGACTCACCAGTGTGCTATATGTGTCATATCACCCTCCCCATGCCAATGTATTAGTTGTCCACACTCTGGCTGG